GCAACGGAAGGTCGATGCAATACGCTCGCGTGTGTGTGTGTGTGTGTGTGCGTGTGTGTGTGTGTGTGTGTGTGTGTGTGTAGCCACCGCGCGATTGATAGCACGTCGAGTCAGCGAGTGGCGAGTCAGCAGCAACCACCAGTGAGCGGCGAGTCAGCAGCAGGCGAGTCAGTCAGCAGCCACAGCGCGATTGATAGCACGTCGAGTCAGCGAGTGGCAAGTCAGCAGCTGCCACCAGTGAGCGGCGAGTCAGCAGCAGGCGAGTCAGTCAGCAGCCGCCACCAGCAAGCTTATACATGTTACATGCTCGCGGAGGTATGCACTCTCCGTGAGTGCCCTCTGTCTAGTTACATCTAATGTGTAACGTGGTCCTGCACATGTTTCACTATAAAGTTCATGACAATTTAGATTCGTACTGTCACACCTATTTATAATGTTTCTGACGACAGGCTCCAGGCTACGCTCTCTGTCACTGTGTGAGCGTGCATGTCCGTATGTGTATACGTTTGCGTGCATGCGTGTGTGTGTGTGTGTGTGCGTGCGTGCGTGTGTGCGTGCGTGCGTGTGTGCGTGCGTGCGTGCGTGCGTGTGCGCATGCGTGCGTGTGTGTGTGTGTGTGTGCGTCTAATAATAAAGAACAACAGACCGCACTGTGCAACTGCTATGTGTTCTGTGCATGGCTGCTGTGGTAATCATGTACTCCGTGGACTGTGACATGGCTACATCTAGCCTGCTGCGTGCATGCATGCAAAACACACTTACGGACTTCTAGTAGGTGGATCTTCTGTTCATCAGGCTTGGCGTTGGGCGACTCTATAGATACCTTGTTCTCAGCGTTACAGTAATAGTAGGTGAAGTCCTTCAACTGATCGACTCTGAACTGTAACACGCAGCAACAAGACCATTTCTACACACGTACACACGCGAACGCGCACACGTACGAACATACACACACATACGAACACACAAATATGTATATAAACGCTTTTTAATTGTCTAATAGGGTTGAAATTATTGTGTAACAGCAGCAGTAGCAGTAGCACCACCACCACCAGCAGCAGCAGCAGCTGTGGGCAGACACTGGGACTAACCTTAAGCGTGGAGCTTTTGTCTGTAGCATTTGTCATGACCTCGAACACCTTGCCTGTCTCTCTCTCCCAATCCTTCAGATGCAGAACGTCTGGTCCAACCAACCACATGTACCTGTAGACAGGTGTGACACGATGCTGATTACAGGTAGTGGAGTGCTACAAGCAGCATATAATATGTTGCTTGTAGTGCTCCACTGATATACACGTATCCTGTACATAGTACCGGCAAGATGACTGAAGACTGAAAAAACTGAACAGATGTACCAGGATGTACAGATGTACAAGGATGGAAAAGGACAGACAAAACTGAACAAAGATGAACAAAGATGGGCAGATGGACAAAGGCGGACAAAGATAGACAGATGGACATAGGTAGCAAGAATATACGGACGTACTCTGCGGCAGGTTTGGCTTCAGCTTTACAATGCAGTGCCACCGTTGCTCCAATCCAACTCTTAATGGCTTTCTCTCTCACGGCGAACTTTGGCGGATCTATGAAACAGAAAATAAATAAGTGAGCCTACTTAGGGTCGATGAGAACTCTCTTAGCTCAAAGACGGAGGTTTGTGAATTTACAGCACACGTGAATAGTGAGTTATCGCTGATCTATTGTTTGTTATCGACCGACATTCTAGGATGTAGTGATCCACCCATGACTCGCCTAGCCTCCTTACGATATAGATGCACGCAGGCATGAACTGATCACATGCCCTCGCCCTGCTGCCCCTTTTCGCTCCCTTACCATGAACATATACTTACAGTTAACGACGACACTGATGGGTATACGTTCTATGGCGAGGCCTCCAGAGCCGGTAGTGCGTGCCTGACATGTATACGTCTTCTCATCCGTCCTACTGATGTTCTTAATAGTCAAACCTTTATCTGAGGCAAACACCTTCTCACCTGCAAACACAAGAACATTACTGCGTTACCCACATAACGAACAGCACGCCAAATTGTAGGCCGCGTGGTGGTAAGCTGGTTAATTCCTCACTTGTAAATACAGGATCATTGCTATATATCGCTATATCAGATTGGTTGATAATAATCAGAGACCCTCCACACCTCCACTACCTCCCCTACTCCCTCCTCCCACCTCCCCTACTCCCTCCTCTCTACCTCCCCCACTCCCTCCTCTCTACCTCCTTCACTCCCTCCTCTCTACCTCTCCCACTCCCTCCTCTCTACCTCCCCCACTCCCTCCTTTCTACCTCCTTCACGCCCTCCTCTCTACCTCCCCCACTCCCTCCTCTCTACCTCCCCTACTCCCTCCTCTCCACCTCCCCTACTCCCTCCTCTCTACCTCCCCCACTCCCTCCTCTACCTCCTTCCCTCCCTCCTCCCCACCTCCCCTACTCCCTCCTCCCCTACCCCTTCCTCACCACCTCTCCACCCCAGCACCTCGATATCCCCTCCTTCCTACATCCTCGACCCCCTCCTCCCCACGTCCCCTACCTCCCTTACCTCCTTCTCCCCACCTCCCCCGCTCATACCCCCTCACCTCCCTTACCGCTCCTTCCTGCCCAGCTCCCCTACCTCGGTACTAATGCTCTTACCGTCGTTTGAGATCTTGCCCTGTCCGTTGTCGAACCACTCTACTATCGGCTGGTCAGGTTCGTAACTGACCTCACACTTGACAAGCGCGTCCATGCCTTCCTGGAAGCTCTGTGTCGTCGGAGCGTTGATGACCTTAATGACCCCTGCACGACAAGCAGACGATATTGTACATGAACGCACGCACGCACGCACGAGAAATAGATAGATAGATAGATAAATATATGGAGAGAGAGAGACAGAGAGAAGCAGACACAGAGTGAGGGAGAGAGAGAAAAGAGAGAATGAGGAGAGGGGTTGAGATAACGTACTGTCTATGCCACATAAAGTAGCAGACACTGTGCGTGGCATAGCATGCCAATAACATAACAGACTATATATATGACATAAGGTAGCAGACGTGGGGAGGATGGTGCTTACTCTGTGCGAACAGTGTGAAGGATGCGCTCCTGGGCGATCCATCAACGACTCCCTTGCACTCGTACTCTCCCTCGTCGGACACCTCCACCTGATCAATGACGAGCATCTTACACGTGTCGCAGTTGTTCCAAGGTTCCTCCTCCACACGCCGCCGGCTGCAGCGAGAAGATAGGCGAGTGTAAGAGAGGTGACAGAGCACTAACTACATGCGCACGCACGCACGCACGCACACACACACACACGCACATATACACACACACATACACGATATCACTTCCCTGCCACCTCTCTATCTCTTTCTTGTGCGCTCTCTTACTCTCACTCTAAGCTATCAACGTACTGTTCTTGTCCCTGTGGGATGGGAGCGCCATCTATTGTCCAGGACACGTCGGTGACGACAGCGTCCTCCTTGTCCGGCTTGCATTTCACGACCACCGTCTCCCCCACCTCCTTAGTCAGCACAGACTCTGTGATACCCAGCGTCAACCTGCTAGCCCACGTGCCTGCAAATAGTGAGCGGAGAGGCGCCGGTGAGCAGGGTAAGAGGGTTAGGGTGGCCACGGACACGCCCTGCCATTAGTTGATCGTTTATCACAAGTAGAACTTATGCTGATGTGACAATGCACCCTGCCCTCTATCGGAAATGTAGTCACCGCGCGATGAAAACACGGGAAAACACTCGCTACCGTGATCCATCACCATGGTCACACTTAACATTCACCATGGCAACACACAGATTCATGCAATCGTTCTCATATTAGCTCTCAGACTATAGACTGGCACTGTCCGTGTTACGTGGCTCAGCGTGTGGAGGCAATCAATGGCGCTTTCACGAAGTAGGGAAGACGCCTGAGAACAGTCTATGCGTCATTGGTAGTAGTGTCTCGACGCACAATCTCAATAAAAGAAGATTTCCCTTCGAGGCAAAGTTTATTTGATGTTTAGAATGGAAGGCGTATCACTATGACAACGCGCGCGCAGCGTGGATGTTTTTCCTCTGATGCAGCGGTTTATGCGTACGCCGCAGCGAATGCTGTCACGGCTACATCGATTAAGTTGCTTTCCATTAAAGTTGCTTTTCATCACTTCTTACGAAAATTATCGTTTTTCGCCGCGAGGGAGCGCGAGCGGTTACACGCGGGATTAGAGAACGCATTATAAATCCATTGTGAAAGTTATAAAGTCTAATGTAATGTCTCCGTTTTCAAGGCCAATCTACGACAGAGAATGATACAGGGATTGAGTTCGAACAACGGCGGAGGCTGGATTAAATATTAAAATTATGATGGATTCCACAACTGGCACAAGAGAGAAATAATTAATGCGGGCAATTCCCGCCCTGGACTCGACAATTTTGTGAGCGACGTTCACTTGCTATGAGCAGCGTTCACTTGTTATGAGCGGCGTTCACTTGATGTGAGCGATGCTACAACTCTAGTCTCTACGACTGAATGATAAATCGCACAAAACTACGGCTACAGCAGGGGCGGCGCCACAGGGGGGGCAGGGGGGGCGGTCGCCCCCCTATTATTTGCAAGAAAAAGGAAAGAAGAAGAAGAAAAAGAAAGAAAAGAAAAAAGAAAAAGAAAAAGAAAAAGGAAAAAAAGAAGAAGAAAAAGAAAAAGAAACATCTTGCAAATGTCTGGCAAATGATGGGTGGGGTGGGGGTCACGCCCCCCCCAATCATTTGCAAGAAAAGTTAAAGAAGAAGAAGATTCTTGCAAGATAATAGGGGATCGCCAGAAAAATGAGTGATGTAGGCTACAAGCCTGGCTAGATCGAAAAAATTAAGTGTCGAAATTCAATCCATATAAAAGCTGTGCTTAATATTGATAATCGATGTCGAAGGTGTTTATTTCCTTGGGAGTACCGCAAGTTGGGAACGCTATCAATTCTGTCGATGATGCTGTTTCCCGGCGGAAAGTGTATGGCACGACGCTTGAGGGTGTTAACAACTTATAAATTATAATTACAACGTTCAGACTGACCTCTAATAATACTCTTACATGCTATCTTATTTTACCCTCCGCCCACGAGTGGAGGGGAGGTTATGTGATCGGGTCTGTGCGTTCGTGTACATGTTAGCGTGTGTGTGTGTGTGGTGTGTGTGTGTGTGTGTGTGTGTGTGTGTGTGTGTGTGTGTGTGTGTGTGTGTGTGTGTGTGTGTGTGTGTGTGTGTGTGTGTGTGTGTGTGTGTTGGGTGTTGTGTGGACGCGATCGATATTAGCGGCGTCAGCGAGCGAGCCAGCCACAGCCGGCTGCTGCTGACTGAGCGGCGAGCGAGGCATACATGTACGCTGGCGTATATCGTGGGTTATTCGTGTGTTCGTGAGTCGTATGGCGTATGGCGTAATGTCGCTGGCGGAGGTATGTCTCTCTCCGTGAGTGCCCTCTGTCTAGTTTTTAGTTAGTGTGTGTATGCGCACGCGCGGCGCGCGGCGTGCGTGTGTGTGTGCGCGTGTGCGTGCGTTCATCTCTCTCCGGGTCATGTTTTTCTCTCCTCTACATAATAGAACAATTATTGGTTCAAGTGCTACAGCATAGATTTTAAAACAAATCACTGTTCCCCCACAGTTCCGGAGACCCCCTCTTTTAAACGTGTCCAGTTTCATAGCATTGAATTTCAACGAAATCCTAGCTAGTTATGGAGACCCCCATTTTCGAACATAGCCGGTTCCAAAGCATACCACATTCAACAAACATTAGTTCAGAGACCCACATTTTCAGGTCTGAGTTAGTTCCAGAGCCCCCCCCCCCATTTTTAAACTTCGCAGCTGGCACATACCAGATACCTACCATAATGTGGGGTGAGTCCCCCCCTCGGGTTTCATCTCGCTTGGTATAATGTTTGCTCCTTGGTTGCCCTGCACAATTTTTTTGGTCAGCAATTTGAGGGCTTTGATTAGCTAAACTCTGAGAGCTTCCCCGGACCCCTGCCAGGGGCTCTGCCCCTGGACCCCGCCAGAGGCACTAAGGCGGGCCCCTGGGGACGGATTCATCAACGTTGCGCAAAGTGTATTGCGTACATAGAGTTTCTACGAAGTACCTACGCAAAGCTCGTAGGTGCGATTCATCAACGCAGCGTAGCACCTGCGTACGCAAATGTTGATGAATTTCCGGTGTAAATCCACTAGCGCCATCGTAGCTGCTGGCTGTTGAGGAGGCGTGCCTAGCATAAACCAATCACACTGTGGGCAGCCATACCATAGGAACCAAAACTGACGGCCTCTCTTGTATGTAAACCATATGGCTCTAGCTGTCTACAGGAGTGCTGGGGGATGTGATAGTTGTCCTCATTTTCGTTTGTATGATTGTCTTCAACGCTCGATGAAAGCAGCGACTCGTACGCGTGCGTGCGTGCGTGTGCACGTACACGTGCGTGTGTGTGCACGTACACGTGCGTGCGTGTGCACGTACACATGCGTGCTTGCGTGCGTAGACACGGGCGTGCGTGCGTGCGTGTGTACGTACACGTGCGTGCTTTGTGTGCACGTACAAGTGCGTGCGTGTGCACGTACACGGCTAACTACGAACTCGCTTATAACGAAAAACAATGGCCAAGCTATATGCCAAGCTATATGATAAAAAAAAGCGTCAACGCCGCGCGCCTGTCTGTGTAGCATGGTAATTATTTATTTATTTTTAGTTGAGTAGTAATTTTATAATGTTTTCTCAATAAAATAATGCATGCTGAGGTATGCTGGAACACCTGCGGAAATTTCGAGTGGTTTACGGCACCGTTCGTCAGCTCGTGTAAAGTTACGCAGAGGTTTACGTCAATTTTAGCTTGATGAATCGCACCTAAAACGGCCTCGCTTGCGTACGCGAAATCGTACGAAAATTTACTAAATAGCTGTGTTGATGATGCGCAACTAAGCAACGTCGATTGCGTACACATGATTTACGCAAAATATTTTGCGTACGCAGCTTGATGAATCATGAATCTACCCGTTGGACCCCACCCGTCAGTGCAAGCGCACACGGTATCAGAGTCTACAGTTCCCAGGGGCGTGTACAGGGGGTCCAGGGAGTCAGGACCCCCCTTCGCGTGCTCCTGTACACGCCCCTGGTTTCGCCCCCCCCCTAAGAAAATACCATGGTGCCGCCCCGAGTCTGGCTACAGTACAGGGGATACTAGCTAGAACTAGGGATGCCATAGCTCTAGTAACGCTGAGAGGGTCTATGTCCCCCAGGGTACTGCCGGAACGTACCCTGTGTACGGCAGACGGCATATAAATCAACGTGATTTATATGCTCTGCTGGTTACTGGTACTATCTAATATGCCGGACCGTACCTCGCCTACTCCACTAACGAGTCTAGGGAGTCGCCTACGCCTACTCGCTAAACCCTAACCCTAACCCTAACCCTAACCGTATCAGATAGTTACCAGGGTACGTTCGCGGTATACGCGGACCGTACCCCAGGGTACGTTCCGGTAGTACCCTGGGGGAACATAGACCCTATGAGCTCTAGTAACTATAGCCCAACCGTACGCGGGCTATAGTTACTAGAGCTGAAAGGGTCTATGTCCCCCAGGGTACTGCCGGAACGTACCCTGGGCCTGGTACTGGTATCTAATCGGACCGTACCTCGCCTACTCCCTACGAGTCTAGGAAGTCGCCTACGCTACTCCCTAACCCTAACCTAATCATATCAGATAGTTACCAGGTTACGTTTCGGTATACCGGACGCGTACCAGGGTACGTTCCAGCAGTACCCTGGGGGACATAGGACCCTATGAGCGTTACTAAGCTACGATGCCAGTGCCGTGGTGCCTGAGGCTATGTCCCCCAGGGTACTGCCGGAACGTACCCTGGGTACGGTTCCGGTATACCGGAAGTACTCTTGGTAACTTCGATATATCCGGACGTACTCGCTTACTCCCTACCGTACCCTGACTGTCCCTGTTCCGCCCACTACTGATGTCGCAAAATTTGAAATATACATACAGACCTGTATGATATCTTTATAAAGTTGGATTGGAGTATAAAACTGTGAAACCAAGAAGAAATTTCAACCTATATACAAACAATATCGCGATGATCGGGAATGCGTTTTCCTTTCGCAATGTTTACGACATTTTCGCGCATTTTCGCGCGGGATTTTTGAAAGATCATGGCTCCAAGTGTTGTGGTGGAACAGGAAAATGTGTATGATTATCTTAATGGGTTGGAAACGTATAGACTCGCTGACACTTGTAGAAATGGTCGGGAGGTGAAACGTAACAGGGTAAGGGGTTAGACTGGTACCCGTTCGCCACCTTCACTCCGGCATATATCCTTCGCTACACTTCGTTAGTGTAGCGTGTGGAACTGTCGACCTGGTACCAGTCTAGGTAAGGGTTACGAATATTTTGCGGGAACGGACCGGAAACAAGGAACGGGAACATAAAGCGGCGCGTTTCCTGCCGACAAGCGGTATGTATTACGACATCGGCTGAAAGTCAGGGTACGGTTTGGAGTAGGCGAGGTACGGTCCGGCATATTAGGCGACTCCCTAGAC